CAAGCTGTGGATTTGAGGTCGTTCAGATCAACGTTCTCTTCTCTACACGAGCGCACCACCATGTTGGAGGAAATCAGGAAGAAGAAAGGGAAAGGGGAAGAAGAGAGAGAGAGGGGGAGGGAGGACTTCGGAAGTCCGCCGCCGCTGCAACAGGTTCGTGTATAGTGAAGTCGAGGAAGATGAATAGTGTTTTTCTCCGAATAGTTATTACAAGGGTAGTATGGGGATAAAAAATATTACAACGACAAATTTTAACGGAAGTGTTGAAAAGCAAAAAAGGTGGGTCAGTTGGTGGCTCACCGAATTTGCAATAGGTGGCCCATCGAGCGGAGCCCACCATTTATTTGGTGGCACATCATTTGCAAACCACCGTTTATGGTTCACTTAGCCATGACGAAAATTTTCATAAATTCCCATTATACCCCTCAGCTCAAGTATAAATAGGGGTCCCTCATATGTTATTTCTCATTCCATTCTCCATTTCATTTTAGTGTATAGTGTATACATTGTGTTGAGAGGAGTATTGAGTTGGGTGTATTGAGTGTCAGGTATGGGTGTGATTCCGGTGAGGTCATTTTGTATTTACTCCTATTTATAGTAAGAAAGAAGCTCCTAGTTGTTGCCCGTGGACATAGGCAATTTGGTCGAACCACATAAATCTGGTGTTCTCTCTTCTTTCTTTCTTTATTGCTATATGCTTTTGTCTGTTTCTATGCACGTACAGATTACGTTATTTCCGCTGTGCAATTCCAACATTTGGTATCAGAGCCACACGGTTCTGTTTCGGGATTCTTCCAAAATCTGTATTTGCTGTTTCAGTATTGCACGTGTTGAATATGGCAAGTTCGAGTTCTACCCGGTATTGACATATCGAAATTCAACGGATCCAACTATGCAATTTGGAAGCTGAAGATGCATGATGTGTTGGTGAAAGAAAATTGTGCAATTGCCTTAGAAGGAAAGTAGAAGAAGCATGCTGATATGAAAGACGAAGATTTTGAGAAGAAAAACCAAATAGCCATGGCTGATATTCTTTTTGCTTTAGAAGATTCGGTTCTATTCAACGTGTTCGAAGAAACCACTACCAAAGGTTTATGGGACAAGTTGCGGAATCTCTACAAGGGGAAATCGATGTCTAATAAAATCTTTTGCCAGCGACAACTCTACAATCTAAGGATGAAGGATGAAGCCTCTTTGCAAGTACACTTGAATGAGTTCAACACTCTAGTAAGCAAATTAGCTGTTGTAGAGGTACGTATTGATGACAAAGAAAATGTTGCTCTTTTGCTTTGCTCTATGCCAAAATCTTGGGATAGTTTGATAATGAATTTAAAAAATACTAAAGATCTGTCATTAAAATCTACTATTTCTATGTTGCTTATGGAAGAATCTCGTAGAAAAGTTTATGAGAATTCTTCAGGTGACGTAATGATGGTACGAGGTAGATCAAATGAGAGAAATGACTCTATCAAAAATCAAACAAGATCCAAGTCAAGAGGCAACAAGAAAGGACTCAAGTGTTGGAATTGCGATAAGAAGGGGCACCTTCGAAAAGATTTTCAGCAACCCAAAGCAGAGCAAAATTGCGGTAAGTGCCTGAGAACCGACAATGGGAAAGAATATACCTTGAAAGAATTTGAAGATTTTTGCAGTGAGCATGGCATTTCGAAACAGTATACGGTTCCTCGAGCCCCGCAATAAAACAGAGTTTATGAACGGATGAATCGTACATTTATGAATCGAGTTAGAAGCATGTTGAGTGCAGCTAAGCTAGAGTAGTGCTTTTGGGCAGAACCAGTCAATATGTCATGTTACCTAGTAAATCGCTCTCTCACTACGACACTTGATTGCAAAATTTCAGAAGAAATATGGTCAGGAAACCTTGTTAATTATCCTTTCCTACGTGCCTTTGATTGTGATACTTATGTTTGGATTCCTAAGGAGCAGAGGACCAAGCTAGAGGCAAGGTCCAAAAAGTGTTTTTTTTTTCTTGGCTATGCAGAAGGTACAAAGAGATACAGATTGTGGGATCCTATTGCCCATAAGATAGTTGTTAGACAAGATGTCGTCTTCAATGAAGATTCGATGCAGAGTGAATCAAGCTCTAAGACAACAAAGAAAGTTGAAGTGGAATCTTTTCAAAGGATTCAATAGCAACAAATTAATACAACTATTGATGTACCTGAAGAGCACGTTGAAAATTTTGGAGAGACTCACAGTGATCAAGGTCGATCGAGGAGAGCTACAAGATCTCCTGTCTGGCTTCAGGATTATGTAATAACTTATGCTTGCACTACAGAAGAGCACAAGCCTTGTTCATACCAGGAAACATGCAAATGTCCAAATGCTCGTCATTAGCAAATGGCAATGGAGGAAGAAATGGAAACTCTGAAGAAAAACAAAACTTGAGACTTAGTTAAACTACCTAAGAATCGAAAGGTCATTGGTTGTAGATGGGTGCACAAACTCAAAAAGGACACTAACGGGAATATCGAAAGATACAAATCTTGACTAGTTGTAAAAGGATATGCTCAGAAAATCAGGTATCAATTTCAACGAAATATTTTATCGTATTGTTCGATTAAATACTATTCATATTTTATTGAGTATGGCTGTAGTACTTGACTTGGAGCTGGAACAGTTAGATGTTAAAACTGCATTCTCGCATGGTAATCTCGAAGAAGAGATTTATATGACTAAATCTGAAGGCTTTGTCGATGACAACATAAAGGATCTGGTTTGTCAGTTGACCAAATCACTTTACGGTCTAAAATAGGCGCCAAGGTGTTGGTGTAAGCGATTTGATTCATTCATTGTGAGCTTGGGCTTTAGCAAATGCGAAACAGATCATTGTGCCTACACATGCTTTGGTAATGATCACTTCATCATTTTGCTGTTATATGTTGATGACATGCTAGTTGCAGGTACTGATAAAGGAAGTATTTTAACACTGAAAACTCGTTTAGCTAGGGAGTTTGACATGAAGGATCTGGGGTGGTTAATCAGATTCTTAGGATGACGATATATAGGGACAGAAAGAATAGGAAAGTCTGGATAACTCAAAAGAGTTATGTTCAAATGGTCTTGCGGCGCTTCAACATGCAAGATTCCAAACCAGTCAGTATCCCATTTTCTGTTGGTTGCAAGTTGTATTCGGAACAATCACCAAGCACTAAAGCTGAGAAGATAGAGATGTCCCACATACCATATTCATCAGCTGTGGGAGCCTTATGTTTGCCATGGTGTGCACCAGACTAAACATTGCACAAGCAGTGAGAGCAGTCAGTAAGTTTATGGCAAATCCAGGAAGAGATTATTGGACCGCAGTGAAGAGAATTCTTCGTTTTTTGAATGGTACTTCTGAAATCTCCATTTGTTATAGTGGCCAAAGCTTAAAACTAGTTGGTTATGTGGATGCATACTATGCAGGAGATCGTGATAATAGAAAATCAACTACTGGTTATGTGTTTTCTTTAACTAATGGTGCAGTGAGCTAGGCATCAAAATTGCAATCTGTAGTGGCCTTATCTACAACAAAAGCAGAATATATGTCAACTACACAAGCATGCAAAGAAAGTATTTGGCTAAAGAGGTTGCTTGAAGAATTCCACATAAAGCAAGAAGTGACAACTATTCATTGTGATAGTCAAAGTGCATTACACTTAGTAAGAAATCCTGTCTTTCATACATGGACTAAACACATTGATGTACAGTACCACTTTGTTCGTGAGGTAGTTGAAGATGGGCAGATCTCGTTACAGAAGATCCACACTAACAACAACGTTGCTGATATGCTGACAAAGCCAGTGATGAGAGAGAAGTTCATCTAGTGCAGAACTTCTCTGGGACTTGAAGCCACATAGCAAAAGATGATCGGCAGCTATTCTCGAGAGGGTTTTTTACTTTGAAAATTGTATTCAAGTGGGAGAATGTTGAAAAGCAAAAAAGATGGGCTAGTTGGTGGCTCACTGAATTTGCAATCGGTGGCCCACTGAGCTGAGCCCACCATTTGCAAACCATAAGTTATGGTTCGCTTAGCCATGAAGAAAATTTTCATAAATGCTCATCATACCCCTCAACTCAAGTATAAATAGGGGTCCCTCCCACGTTATTTATCATTCCATTCTCCATTTCATTTCAGTGTATAGTGTATATAGTGTGTTGAGAGGAGTATTGAGTTGGGTGTATTGAGTGTTGGGTACGGATGTGATTCCGATGAGGACATTTTGTATTTTTTCCTGCTTATAGTAAGAAAGAAGCTCCGAATTGCTACCCGTGGACATAGACAATTTGGCTGAATCACATAAATCTGATGTTTTATCTTCTTTTTTCTTTATTGTTATATGCTTTTATCTATTTCTATGCACGTACAAATTACATTATTTCCACTATGCAATTCCAATAGAAAGACTAACGGAAGGGGATCTTTGTTTTACGGTTATAGTACAGGGGGTTTTTATCACAAAACAAAATATAGGGGGTCTTTGTCACAGACCCCATAGTACAAGGGGGTTTTTGTAATTTACTCCCTCCCAAACGGGTACTGTTTTTTTTTTATTTTTCTTTAACCAAATTTTTTTTTCTATTTTCCATGAGTTTAGGACTATAGATGTTTTTTGGTAAAAGTTTAGAGGTTTATAACTTTATATTATTATATAAAAAAGAACGCTTTCTTTCTTACATTGACACCGATAACAAGGATTAATCAATAATGAATTAATTTACCAAGGGGGATTCTCCTCGATTGTGATTTAAGTATTAGATTAATTACAAAATTCTTTAACGTTTTTCCTACCGACGCTGTTGGGACCGTTGTCCTGACATGAAAAAAAGCAAAACAAATCGGTTACACATCCCCTTTTATCAAGGCGACACGTAGTACCAATCAACGGCCGTCCTCTGTCTATCCTATCATTTTGTCTTAATGCATGAGCTTCTTCTCTCGAAAGGCTTTATATATGTATGACATTCACATGTAGCCAGGAGCGCAGAGAGAGAGAGAGTAGCAAACAAGAACGAGAGGTCAGTATTCCACTAGAATCCAACCCAAAAGGCTAAAACCCTTATCCTATCTTATTTGTACCCAATACATGTTTTCTTTTATATCACTGTCGCTCTGAAGCTCTCTTTCATGCTTTCCGTCTCCCTGCAGTCTCTTCTCCTTTGGTGAGAATTCTTCAACTGTAAACCAATGATTCTGAGTTGTATTTATTAATCTTGGGTATGGATTCTGAAATGGGTTGCTAAATTTCCCCCTTAAATACAGCTCTCTGTGATTAAAAATGGCACCCAAATCTGTACGAGGCAAAGCCAGTAAAGCCAAGGGAGAGAAGAAGAAGAAGAAAGAAGAGAATGGTAGCTCTTCTACTTAAATAACCAAATACTGCAATTCTCTCTTCAAATCACCCATCTTATTCTTCTCTTCTGCATTTGCAGTTGTGCCTAACCTGCTTGACATCACCGTTGTCACTCCATATGACTCAGAAATTACACTCAAGGTACTGCTCTCTTCTTTTGGGTGATTTTCTTTGAAGAATTAAATTATTTCAATGAATGTCTTGATCAGAAAACTGTATTTATTATTTCATTGATGTAAATTTATTTGTGGCAAATGAAGGGAATCTCAACTGATAAGATTATTGATGTAAGAAAGCTATTAGCTAACAATGTTGAAACCTGTCATTTAACCAACTATTCTCTGTCTCATGAGGTAATCTCTTTGCTATTCCTCTTAAATCAAGACTATAATCTGTTATCTGGAATTCTGGTTTTCTTGATTTTTCTCAAAACCAAAGCAAATGGGCTCCCTTAACTGAGTTCTGGTTCTAACAATTCAATGAAACTGGGCATGTAGGTTCGAGGGCAGAGATTGAATGATTCAATTGAAATTGCTTCTCTGAAACCATGTTTGATGAAGATGATTGAAGGTAAGGTCATGGTGACAGGTTCATCAAAATATCTGTTCACTGATAAAGAAAGAAAATTAGAAATGGAAAGAGCCATTAATACATACATACTGGACGAATGGGCCAATATATGCCCATAAGTTCTTTTGTACCTTTTAAGCTGCTAACTGACCAATAGGTTGGGCCCACTGTTCTTACATTTTTATTGCATCATTGCATGTGGGTGTGGGCCTTTTCCCCATGGATCCTTCCCTTTCTTTGTTCGTTGGATCGTTCCAAAAACGACGAGGGTAGTATGGTCAATTTTCTAAGTTTTTGCCCGAATAGGCTATTTTATTTACAACTTATGACACTGGCTGACTGGCTGTGCAGAGGACTACGTAGAAGAAAACCAAGCGGTGGCACACGTGCGAAGGCTACTGGATATCGTTGCGTGCACCGCCTGGTTCGGCAAACAGAAAGATGGAAGAACGGAAGGTCGCGCTAAGAAAACCAGAAACCAGAGTAGCTCGAATTCGAGCTTGTTCTCAAGCCCTCTTTCTTCTTCTTCTAATGGGGAGAACGGGTCTGCGTCTGCTTCAGAAGCTTCTGTTTCTGCAGTTTCAGATAAATTCGACATGGCTGCAATTTACCCAACTCCCAAGCTCTCAAATTTCTATGATTTCTTCTCGTTTTCCCATCTTACTCCGCCCATTCTATGTACGTTCTTACCTATTTTTTCTTCTTTTTTTAGTGATTTTTTCTTGCGGATTTAAAAACGAAAGTGGGTATTTAGTGTTTCAATAATTCTGGGTCTTTCTGCAGTTCTGAAGAGATGCGATATTCGTAGTGTGGAAGAGACGCGTGACGGTGACTACTTCGAATTACAGGTGAATTTATTTGTACGAAGTTTTTGTTTTCCACAACTTTTATGTGTGCATCTGTGTGATGGATATGTCTTCCACAGTTGAATTTGTTAATGTTCCTGAACTGTTTATAATCCATGTAGTTGAAAGTGTTGAACAATCATGGCAAACTGTCAGTTTTAGTGCCACATAACGACACTATGTTGAAGTGGTTCTTTTGTTCCTGGTTATACTCGTTTGTTGCTATTTCACTAAAGGGAGAAGATGGGATATGTGCAGGTTAAGATTTGCAACGGGAAGCTGTTAACAGTGGTTGCTTCAGTCAAAGGGTTCTACTCTGCAGGGAAGCAATTTATCCAAAGCTACTCCCTGGTGGATCTGTTGCAACAGCTAAGTCAGGCGTTTGCAAATGTGGGTAGAATTTTCACTCCATATTGTTTTTAATAAGCTTTGATCCCAATATTCATGGCTTGGTTTGTTGAGTCTTCATCTGTTTGTCTCTAACTAGTATTATTTCATGTTTAATACAGGCCTACGAATCTCTTATGAAAGCTTTTATTGAACACAATAAGGTGATACTGTGAGCTTTTACGAGAGATTTCAATATATATGTAATATAATGTTTTTCTCCTTTTCCTTTCCAAAAAGTTCTCACAGAAACTTTTTGTTCTTCAGTTTGGTAATCTACCTTATGGACTGCGTGCAAATACATGGCTTGTCCCTCCAATGGCTGTTGAGTCTCCATCAACATTTCCATGCTTACCGATGGAAGATGAAACTTGGGGTGGCAATGGTGGTGGTCAGGGAAGAAACAATGAATATGATCATAGACCATGGGCCACAGAATTTTCAATATTGGCAAGCCTACCTTGTAAAACTGAGGATGAGAGACTGATCCGTGACAGAAATGCTTTTTTGCTGCATAGTCTGTTTGTGGATGTCTCAACCTTTAAAGCTGTCTCAGCAATCAACCAACTCATAAATTCCAGTACAAACTCAGTAGATTCTGTGAGTAGAACCCCAGGCTCAGTTCTGTATGAAGATCATGTAGGTGACCTATATATTGTAGTAAAGCGGGATGCAGCAGATGCAAGCTCAAAGCCTGATGAGAAAGTCAATGGCAACAAAGAACCAGGCATATCCAGTAAGGAAATTACACAAAGGAATCTACTTAAAGGGATCACTGCAGATGAGAGTGTAGTTGTTCATGTAAGAAAATTCATACTCCCTTATTCTCTTCTCATTGATATTTCATCTATGATTTTCTCAGAGTATGAACCCTGAAGCAACATAGTACATCTGCAGGATATTTCTACACTGGGCACTGTTGTTATCAGACATTGTGGATACACTGCAATTGTAAAAGTTGAAGATGAGGTGAAGACTAGAAATTGCATGGTACAAGATATCATCATTGACGAACAGCCAGATGGAGGTGCCAATGCACTGAACATTAACAGGTATATGATTATAATCAACATATGCATTCGCCTAAATACCCAAGTAATAGAGATTAGAGACGAGAGATTCATGATGACTGATCTATGAAAACGATGCCTACATTTTTTTTATTTTTTTATTTTGTTGTCCATGATAAGATTTTGCAAGCTTTTTAAGGACTTCTGCTTTTGGTAAAATGGTATGAGAAAAAAGAGAAATACAGAACCAATAAAAAGGTAAAGATTCACAGAAAAGTGCAATTTAGTGCATCGGGTATTAATTTTATTAGAAAACTGAATAATGACAACCTATGATAGGCTCTTCAAAGAAAAACCTATGACAGGTTATTATCCCCATCTCCAGTCCAAAAAATAATAAAATAAAGTGCATAAACCAAAAGGAAGAGCTGGAATTACAAAAATATTCTGGCTATAAATGCATTGATCTGTGGAGAAATGGATTTTTTTTTTAATTTTTCTTTACCACAGGTTATCTAATTCAGCAGGAAAATTTTGAAAGTCCAAACCAGTTTCTTCCAATTGCATCTTAATTTTTTTTTTCTTTTTGGTTATCTATTTCAATTGACCAAAACTGTGTTGCTCTGCAGTAATGTGGATACACTATGTGTGATTCTGTCTTTTCAGTTTTCATCATAAAACATGCATTAATCGGTTGTTAATCTTCTACAGCTTACGGGCTTTTCTTCACAAATCAAGTACTGCTGAATGTCAGTCTCCTGTGTCCAATTTCGATGATCTAGAGGCAGCTAGATGCTTAGTCCGGAGGGTAATAAATGATAGCTTGATTAAATTAGAAGACGAACCTACTGTTAGCAAAGGATCTCTCAGATGGGAACTTGGTTTTTGTTGGGTACAACATCTACAAAAACAGGAAAGCCCAACAACCAATAGTTTTAAACGTTGTGGGGAGGAGAAGAATAAGGCTGAACTGGATGTTAAAGGCCTTGGTAAGCAACTAAAGCCATTGAGCAAAAGTGGAAAGAAAATGAATGGTATAAGTAGGAGAGCTGACATGGAGGAAGAGGATTCCAAAATTTGTAGCACAGTTGCATGTGAAAGAGGTGATTCTGGAGAAACAAAGAGCGAGTGCAATAGTGAAGCTGAAATAAAGAAATTGGTTTCTGAGGCAGCCTTCTTGCGTTTGAAAGGAACCAGAACAGGTCTTCATCAAAAGGTCTGTAAGATGCTTCTGTCAAAATACTGTTTCATAGCTCAATTAAGCTTATGTTTGGTGAACTGCTTCACAAATTAGCCAATTCTATGCCTGCTAAAATAAATGAAGCTATTAGTATAACAAAGGTAGCAGTGCAGGATAAGAAGCATCATTCACTATATGTGTATGTACAAGGGGCTAAGGATCCACTATCTAAGGGTCCTCTTGAAGCTATGGCTCCAATTTCAGCATCAAGTCCCACCTAGAAGGTCTACCAGAAATTGACATGATACATTACCCATTGTTTCACTTTCTTTAGGACTATAAGAAAAATAAAATATATTGGCATATTGGCATTCTAAATAGGGTTTGTAGATAGAACTGGATATCTAATCAGGATTTCCATAAAGTTACTAGCTCTCACAAGTAGGAAGGCCATTAAGCAAGTAATCTCTTCTTATTATATAAGTTTTTTCCCTTTTTCAGAAAAGAACTAGCTAACTCAAGACATGCTTCTTAATATCAGATATCAATGTAAAGTATTGGACATTGTGTCTCTAAGAGGCCCTACATACTGACAAACCAGCACTTCATAGAAGAAGAATTGTATACAAAGTAATAACAACTAGAAAAGAAAAAAGTTATAAGAACTACTACTAACTACTAAAAACTGGAAATTTTACAAATTGGAAGTCATGACAATGAAAATTCTCTAAGTAGCAAAAATATTTTATATGATGTTTTCTCAACTAATTCAAGTCTGCATCTCTTTTATATTTTTTCTTTGTGTATATATGTTTTATTTTTCTGACATCTTGTGCTTACTTAGTCATTGGATGAGCTGATTGAGATGGCCCACAAGTACTATGACGAAGTTGCTTTACCAAAACTGGTAATATTCATTTCTATATGGTGATTCATATTATCAAATTCTAAATACTTTTATATTTTGTACATAGTTTACAAGAATTCTTACTTCTGTAGGTAGCAGACTTTGGGTCGTTAGAACTTTCTCCAGTTGATGGGCACACACTAACAGATTTTATGCATGCTAGGGGACTTCAAATGTATTCATTGGGACGTGTGGTGAGGGAATAATTTTTCTTTTCTATTTTGTATATAATAATATCTCCGCCTATAGTATTTATTAATAAAGCTCTTTTTATCTGGTTAGTGATATGTGTGTGTGCAGACTTTAAGGCTTTCTCCATTATCTCTAGATTTTTTGTTATTAATACCTGTCCTGGATGGTATGAAGGCTTGCAGCTTGTTCTGGAAATTGACATTTTACTAACACTATACAAACAGGTCGAACTTGCAGAGAAGCTCCCTCATATACAGTCTCTTTGTATTCATGAGATGGTTACTCGAGCCTTCAAGCACATTCTTAAAGCTGTGGTTGCTTCCGTTGACCATGTAGCAGACTTGTCTGCAGCAATAGCCTCATCCTTGAATTTCTTGCTTGGGTCCAGCATGGATACCAGGGACCATGATCTCAAAATGAGATGGCTGGAAACTTTTGTTTCCAGAAGATTTGGTTGGAACTTAAGGGGTGAGTTTCAATACTTGAGGAAGTTCTCAATTCTCCGAGGACTTTGCTATAAGGTACACTTCCTTAGCGTTCTTTCAGCTTCTGATCTTATTGAAAGCAAATTTCTTAATTTTAGTGTTTCTGATAATCCAGGTTGGAATAGAGTTGGTTCCAAGAGATTATGATATGGACATACCAACCCCTTTTAAGATATCAGATATTATCAGCATGATCCCAGTTTGTAAGGTAGGAATTCCTTTCTGCTCATAGCTCATTTATCCCGGTATTTCCATTTTAAATAGCATATACAGATGACTAAGTTATGTGATTGGTCAAATTCCTTTCCACAGCATGTAGGATGCTCTTCTGCTGATGGCCGGAACCTACTGGAGTCATCCAAAACAGCTCTAGATAAGGGAAAGCTGGAGGATGCTGTCAACTATGGAATAAAGGTAGTAAATTCAATCAGGAATAGGCTGCACAATTTGTCTCTGTAATATGAAATTTTATGGATCTAATCCCCTTTGTACCACTTGGACTTGAAGGCATTGTTAAAAATGATAGCTGTCTGTGGCCCCTATCATCGCACAACCGCAAGTGCATACAGTCTTCTAGCAGTAGTTCTTTACCACAGAGGAGATTTTAACCAGGTATATGACTTTTAATTTTACTCTTAACCTTCATTTTAAGAATTTTATCATTTGTCACCTGTAAAAAATCAAATATTTCTTGAAGCATACTTTTCTAGTTTTTCAACTTTTTCTAGTATTTTGAATAGAAAGTAAAGCTGTAAAAGCATTCTGTTCATGGCTACAAAGGGTATATCAAAAGATTACCCTACATAAACCCTACCTGCCACTAGAGGACAGGAGTTTGACAGAAACCATGAAGTGCAACTTTGTAATTCAAGGGTATAATGTTCTGCAATTCATTGGAAAAATAGTCTACAAGAGCTTAGTGACTACCAAGATCAAGCAGTTCCACCACCTTGGTTATTTGAAATTCAAGGGTTCATCATCATTATTAAATTCTTAGTTCATCGTTACTTACATCTATGGGTACAATTCTTGACCTAACCCACAAATATACTTATAGACCTTCTGTTGTTTTCACTTAGGCAACCATATATCAACAGAAGGCATTGGATATCAATGAGAGGGAGCTTGGCCTGGACCACCCTGATACAATGAAGAGCTATGGTGATCTTTCAGTTTTCTACTATCGGCTCCAACACATTGAATTGTCCTTGAAGTAAGTTGTAAATTTCATCTTTCTTACTATATTTGACTTTTTGACTCATATTTGACTTTGAATCTTATTTTCTTAGGCATGCTAATCCAAAATAAGTGCATTATCCTTAGATAAAAAGAAATTTCCCGAAATGCATTTTGTTTTCTAGTATATTGCAATTCATTTTTCAGGGCTGTTACTCAACTCAGCCTCAATCCCAGCTACTTGATGTTGGCTACATGAATTTTGTCCCACCATTGTGCTCTATCAAGAGTAATTCTTTCTATAAAACAGTAAATCTTTAATTCTTACCAATTCAGACCTCATTTTCTTTGGTCTTCCCTTTGCTCTTTTAGAGCCTTCTACTTGCACCAAGTCATCCTTGTTACTGGTGCAGTCATTGGTTATATATGGACATGACTAAACCATCTCACTCAGCTTTCCCTTATCTTGTCATTAATTGGGGCTACTCCAAAATCCTCTTTAATGTACTCATTTCTGATTATGTTCTTTCTTGTCTATCCATCCATCTCAACACCCCCTTCTCAGATATAATCATTTTTGGAACATGCTTTTGTTGATTGCCCAGCACTATGTCTTATAAGATATTCCTTTTAGTCTCATTTTTCAACGTTATGCATTATACCTGGTTTTCTTTCACTGATCAAATCTCATGCATTAATTGCAGGTATGTCAACCGTGCACTATACCTTCTTCATTTTACCTGTGGACTGGCACACCCAAACACTGCAGCTACATATATAAATGTGGCTATGATGGAGGAGGGTATTGGAAATGTTCATGTTGCTCTTAGATACCTACATGAAGCCCTCAAATGCAACCAAAGATTGCTAGGAGCAGAACATATACAGGTTCTCTCCCTCTCTCTCAAACACACATACACACGGAATAGCTTAAATATAGAATTGCACAAAAATCTTCCGAAGTATCGGAGGAATCTCAACCATCATCATCTAACCCTTGTCCCAACTATACGGGGTCAGGTACATGAATCCTGTTTCACCATTCCATTTTGTTCAGTGTAATTATGGGGTTGGCAGTAGGAGATGGTTGGAGGATATGTAAGATAAAAGCTCAACCATCTCATCTAAAAATTGAAAATTTGACAGTAAGAATGTAAGATAAAATCTTGCTATTTGTATCTGATTAATTTTCTAGTCAGTGGACAGATAAGCAGTGTAGCAATGTCTTTGTTTCCTCCTTAGGACCTAGAGTTTGACATAAAAGTCAAGAGTGAAGACTACTACTAGATCAACCAAATTTGGTGGTCTTAATCCATGATCATTTATATACACTGTTGATTGTCTGGAGGGAATGCTTGGCTCCTCAAGATATTTGCAAGTTTTATGCCACCCAATTAATTGATCCATAAGTGGATATTTCCTGAACTAAGAATCATACCAAACAAGTGTAACCACTAACCACTATAAAACTAATTACGTATCTACCATTTGTGGGATTAAATAAATTGAAGTCTTTTTGATGATTAGTATTGCACTTGTCAATTTGTCATTTGCTCCAACAAGTAATATTTTCCTTTGAGGAAACACAAAACATTGAACATGAATTTATAATTGTCATTAATCATGCATGAATTGACTAAACATATTCAGGAGGAGGTGCCATGGTATGTTGTTTACTGATGACATAGCATTAATTGATGAAACTAAAGGATTAAATGCAAAATTAGATTTATGGACAAATACCTTAGAAGCATGAGGTTTAAAATAAGTAGGACTAAAACATAATATGTACGATTTAAATTTAACAATGAGTGGAAATTAGGGTACTCCTAGGATTGGAGACCAAGAGATATCTCAATGTGACCTCTTCTGTGGCCTTGGTTTCATAATCCATAACAAGGGAGAGATTGTGGAAGATGTTACCTATAGAATTAGAGCAGGATACGAAAAATGGAGGGGTACATATGGACTCTGGAGTCTTATGTAATAAGAGAATCTCAATGTGACCTCTTCTGTGGCCTTGGTTTCATAATCCATAACAAGGGAGAGATTGTGGAAGATGTTACCTATAGAATTAGAGCAGGATAGGAAAAATGGAGGGGTACATATGGACTCTGGAGTCTTATGTAATAAGAGAATACCACTTAGGCAAAAATAAAAATTTTATAAGACAGACATAAGGCCAGCAATGTTGTATGGAGCAGAACGTTGAGCAGTCAAGAAACATGTCAAAAAAAAAATGAGTGAAAAAATGCAATTGTCTAGATGAATAAGTTGGAAAACCAGAAAGTATAGGACCAAAAACTATTCAAGGGAACCTAGGAGTAGCTCCAATAGGTGATAAAATAAGGGAAAGTAGACTAAGACGGTTTGGTCATATGCAGAGAAAGCCATCTACATCATTGGTGAGAAGTGATCTGTTACAAATTTTAGGGGCTAAAAGAGCTAGAGGCAGACCAAAAAGAATATGAATTGAAGTGGTGTGAGATGAATTTAACAATGAAAATGACACTAAACATAAAGAAATTGGAAGAATAGGTTTCGTGTAGCCAATCCCATATAGCTGGGACAAAGCCTAGATGATAATGAATTTATAATTTTATACCTTATATTTCCTGCCATGTTTAATTAGGATTTTCATATAATATCATGGATATTAAATCTGACATAATACTGAACTAAAGCTTACGGGAGACCATTACCTCCATGATTATTTTAGTCTTCCTAGAGAACTCAATTGCTTAGAAGCTTACATCTGAACCATCGACAGTGTGCCTTTTGGAACTGGAATCTTTTATTATGTTACTTGGTGCACAGGTTATCCTTTCTATAGATATCCAATTAGGGCTATAACTTAATGTGTCAGCTTATAGATCCTGTCCTGCCAATATCAGTGTATATATGATTCAAATCATAAATTAGTATTCATGTTTGGATTTGGATGAGATCTGGTAAGGGGTGCACATGAGAAGAAAAACAGCAAACAGCCTTTTGAGAAGAAAGGACTGTTTAGAAAGATGCAAAAGTTCAAAAGAAAGTAGCAGAAATCAGAGTTCAAGAGGAGAGAAGAAGAAGAAGAAGGTGGCGGCAACTTGGGTTCAGAGAGGGAGATTTTTCGAACATAATCTCTTCTCTTACTCCCTTAATTCTATTTCATTAAGTTAAACTTTGGTAATTTACAGAGAAGCCCCTAGTTGGGCAGAAAATTAAAAAGACATAAAATAAGAAAGAATAAACCCAGATTAAGGCCCATTACAACAAAGAACATAAAAGATAAAAAGGATAAACAACCTATGGGCCATTCGGCCCATCTTCTCAACACTCCCCCTCAAGCTGAGCATAGATGTCAACCATGCCAAGCTTGCTAGTATCATGCTAAAGTTTAGCCTTGGGAATGCCCTTGGTGAGGAAATTTGCTAACTTTCCTTCAGAGGTGATGAAAGGTAGGCACACTTCTCCAGAAGCCACTCTTTTTCGAATGAAGTGTCTGTCAACTTCAATATGCTTAGTTCTGTCATGTTGCACTGGGTTGTGAGCAATGTTGATGGCGGCCTGATTATCACAGTATAACATCATTGGCTTATCATGCTCAATACTCACTTCCTCCATCAAGGATTTAAGCCACAATAGTTCAGAAACTCCATGAGTCGTGGCTCTGTATTCTGCTTCGGCTGAATATCGAGCAACAACTGATTGTTTCTTGCTTCTCCAAGAGACAATATTACCTGCCACCAAGCTACAGTACCTAGAGGTAGATCTTCTGTCATCAATGTTTCCGACCCAGTCAGCATCTTTGTAGGCTTCAAGTTTCATATGGCCATGCTTAGCAAATAGAATACCCTTTCTAGGGGAACCCTTCAAATAACACAGAATCCGCTCTACTATTGCCATGTGAGTACCCCTGGGAGCCTGCATGAACTGACTAATGCAACTGACAACATATGCAATGTCTGGCCGAGTCATGCATAGATAGAGAAGTTTCCAAGTAGTCTCTAGAAGACTCCCTTATCTTTCAACGATATTCCATATGAAGCAGAGAGTTTATGACTCATATCAATAGGAGTAGCAACTGGTTTAGTACCCATATTCTCTGTTTCAGAGAGCAAATCAAGAACATACTTTCTCTGAGAGATAAGTATCCCATCCTTGGATCTAGCAACTTCTATGCCAAGAAAGTATCTCAATTCCTATAGATCTTTGATGTCAAACTCTGTATGAAGGAAAGATTTAAGATCATTAATTCCTAATACATCATTACCAATCACAACAATATCATCAACATACACAATCAAGTAAACGACCAAGGATCCTCTCCTCTTCACAAAGAGGGTATGATCAGACTGTGTTTGTACATAGCCAAAGCTAACAAGGGCAACCCTAAACCTTTCAAGCCATGCTCTAGGGAACTGTTTAAGTCCATAAAGAGATTTTTTCAGCCTGTAGACATTCCCTTTCATATCTGTTTCATACATCCCTAGAGGAAGAGACATATAGACCTCCTCATGTAACTCTCCATTTACAAATGCATTCTTTACATCTAACTGATAAAGTGGCCAGTTTAAGTGTGCAGCAAGAGATAGCAGAACTCTCACAGAAGTCATCTTGGCAATAGGAGCAAATGTCTCTAGATAATCAATCCCATATGTCTGTGTATAACCTTTTGCAACTAGCCTAGCCTTGTACCTTTCAATGGTGCCATCAGCTTGATATTTGATAGTAAAGACTACTTACATCCTACTGGATCATTCCCTTCAGGCAAATCAACCACTTCCCAAGTGTCATTCTTGTGCAGGGCATCAATTTTTGTTCTCATAGCATCTCTCCATTTTGGAATAGTAAGAGTTTCTGACACAGACCTGTGAATTGGGTTAGAAGCAACAGAAGAAAGGTAGGCAAAATATGAAGGAGAGAGCAAACTATAAGAAAGGTGTTTGGAAATGCAATGTGCAGTATACTTCCTTTTTCCTTTCCTAATAGCAATGGAGATATCAAGGTCTGGGAAGAATGACTCCAAAGGGGTTGTATCAGTACCTGTTGTCTCTTCTGTGACTGGAAGTGCAGGAGGCTCATGTGTTATAGGGGAAACAATCTGCTCATTTATGGTTTTTTGCCGTTGATACAACCTGGGATTAAAAAGAGGGCGATGAGGTAAAGGAGGAGGAATAGGAACACTGGAATGAGAGTGAAGTGATTGATCCTCCCTTGATTCATTTGAAGGAGGAAGAGACTCAGCAAAAGACCCATCTAGGACAGGAAGAGGAAGAGCAAACACCTATGACAAATCCTCCCCCTTTGGACAATGTCTCTCCAGAAAAATCTCATCAAAGGTGACATCCATTGAGACATACCGAGTGCCAATCTTCGGATCAAAACAACAGTAACCCTTATGTGTGGGGGAATAACCAAGGAAGATACACTTGTGGGCTTTTGGTTCAAATTTATGTCTTTGGACACTTGGGATATGTACATAACAAGTGCAGCCAAAGAAACGAAGAGGAATAAGAAAAAGATCCTTGTCTGGATGAAGGAGACTGAAGGGAGACTTAAACCCTAAAACCCTAGATGGCATACGGTTT